AAGGGAGAAAAGATGGGGAAATGGGATTAAAAGACCTTCACAGTCCAATAAATTCACAACAGGCAAGATGGGCTAAATGGCCTACTGTTTCTGAGCCAAGGGGTTGAATAATTAAAAGTACCTATTTGCTCATACATAAATGCAATGTCAAACCCTTCCCACTTAAATGGGAAATGGCTTTTAATATCTATAATAATTATAATCCTTGAATACAATGCTTATCACGTCGAGACATCTCAAAGGCTGCACAGGATTTTACTGTGAATTGTGACTAGATATTTTACTGTGAAGTGTAGTGTGACTGTATCTAAAAGCAAATGGTTGTTGATTAGACTGACAGTTGCCATCAAAACAGTTGTGGACCTTCCATTTTTCTAGTGTTAAGAGCATTTCCAATGTGTGAGACACTTTTAATGTGCGATATTACTGTACTTGTCAAACACACTTAATGTGAGTTGTGTTCTGCAGAAGGATCCCGGAGTGTACCTCGTGATCTTAAGATCTTCATTGCACTCTGAAAGGAGCTCAAGAGTCATGGTTTCAGGTCTTGCACTGCTCACTTGTACCGCATTTTACCTGTCTACCCATTCTGTTATTTGGGGGAGAAAAGGAAAAGTTGTCTCACCTTCACCAATCATTCAGAACAGACCTTTCATTGTGGTCTGGAATACGCCCACCGAGAACTGTAAGAAGAAATTTAACATTGACCTGGATTTGCGCGCTTTCGATATTATTGAAAACCAAAACGAGAGATTTGTCGGCAAGAACATAACCATATTCTACCAGAACAAGTTGGGCCTCTACCCGTATTACACTGACACTGGAACCGCAGTGCATGGTGGCGTGGTACAGAATGCTAGTCTGCACCAGCACCTCCAGCAGGCCAGCAAGGACATCCAGAACCTGCTGGACCACAACTTCCACGGACTAGCAGTGATAGATTGGGAAGAGTGGCGACCACTCTGGGACCGCAACTGGGGTGACATGGACATCTACAAGCAAAAGTCTGAAGACTGGTGAGAAGCAAACATCCCTATTTTCCTGAATGGCTGGTTTTCCAGATTGCCAAAAGTAACTATGAAACTGCTGCCCAGAATTTTATGCAAGAAACACTTAGACAAGGATGGAAACTAAGATCAATGGGTCTCTGGGGCTTTTACAAATTCATGTTTGTCTACTGTCCCAGTGTACGTACAAGAGACCATAGTAGGACTGTAACAATACTAAAAGTTTCAT